GTCAAATTGGAACAAACGGTGAAAGCGTTAGTTCATGCTTCTATCAGAATTATCACGAGGACAGTTAAGACTTCAGTTAGAAGGTTTGGATCCATAACAGCGATCTTAAATTCTTTGCATTAGACTAGTTATTTTTATATATTGAGGTCCAACCTCCTTAAAGAAACATAGGCTGTCTAAATTATTCAGCAATGAACACTTTACCCAAATCACTAATACATCTAAATCAGCTTACCACATAATATAAATGTTTTCCCTTTTACAAGCAAGACTGTGCAGTGTGCTGCCTTTCTCTTTTCTATAATTAGCACAAACATTTGGAAATGGCAATAACACTTTCTCTGTATCTTTACAAGAAAGAAAATGACCTAAAAAGGGAAGAAAGGCCAGCCTAGGAAGGAGCACAGCTAATGTAAACATCACCCACAACTTGCTGTCAGGGACAGCCCCCCACCCCTCCTACCTTCTCCAACCAGATCCTTTCAGTATTTGTGTTTTGGTTTTGTTTTTCAAACTCTGTCTTCACTACAGATTTCCCTACTTGGAAATTTTATCGTTTGAGATCGCTGTACAGCAACAAGAGATAAAGCTGTGCAAACGGCAAGCTGGCCCACGGTGTAAAAGTGTGTGATCAGTAAAGAACGTGTACACGACAGACACAGGCTACATCAACATGGAAGCATTAAGTTCATCTGTCATTTTAGTAGTATTCATGTTGTTCAGATAACTCTGTGCTATTTCTATATCTACTAGACACTTTTCAAATAAGAAAATTGTGAAGAAAAATATGACTTTCCACTTGGAAAACTGAGTTTTGGACTGTTGTATACTGCCAGACTTCTTGATTAGTGTCTTTATTATAATTTCAGCCAGTAATAATTTCAGCCAGTAATACTTTGTCCAAGTTTCCTGAATGTAACAAGAGGTTCAAAACTCTTGAGTTCATGAAAATACCAGAACGATTTTATCCCAGGAAGAGACAGTGTAAGAAATTAGGGGGACTTCTGTAGCATAAGAAAACCATAAATGTATCTTTCCTGGCTGGTTATCATCCACACCAATGGGGTTTCAGTAGGGCCCTACACGGAAAGTTAGATTTATGATTCTGCAAAAATTTCATGCACAGCAACAGAAAATGCCTTTAAACATATTTCATGGGTACATAAATATAATCACAGCTCCAATTTCTGGACATTCAAACAGCAATTAAGCAGAAGCTGGAGATATCACTCTTGATACTACAGTTGGTACACAGCCTTAGTGATTTCTCCTGTGAAATCACCACCACCTGCACAAATTTTGGATAATAAACCAGATATAAAGGCTAATTAGCTGGAAATTATGTAAGGCTAGACCTATCAGTACAATTTAGGAGAAATCCCATGAAATAATTGATTCTTGCAGAAATCAAGATCTCTAGAGCCCTTTCTCAGATACTACTGCTGTGGAAAAATAGTCTTTTTCATGCTATTCTCCCCATTTAGTCAGTTAGAAACTGTATTGGGTTTGTGTGGCAAGGTTTTGGTAGTGAGGGGGGCTACAGGGGTGGCTTCTGTGAGAAGTCCCCCATGTCCGACAGAGCCAAAGGCTCCAAGGTGGACCTGCTGTTGGCCAAGGCCAAGCCCACCAGCGATGGTGGTAGCACCTCTGGGATAACATATTTAAGAAGGGGGAAAAGCCTGTGCAATTGCAGCTGAAGAGAGGGGTGAGAATCTGTGAGAGGAGCAGCCCTGCAGACACCCAGGCCAGTGCAGCAGGAGGGGCTCCAGGCGCCGGAGCAGAGATTCCCGTGCAGCCCCTGGTGGGGCAGGCTGTGCCCCTGCAGCCCAGGGAGGCCCACAGGGGAGCAGATCCCCACCTGCAGCCCGGGGAGGCCCCCACGCCGGAGAAGGGAGGTGCCCGAAGGAGGCTGTGACCCCGTGGGAAGCCCGTGCTGGAGAAGGGTCCTGGCAGGGCCTGTGGTCCCGTCGGTAAAGGCGAGCCCAGGCTGGAGCAGGTTTGCTGGCCGGGCTGGTGACCCTGCAGGGGACGCATGCTGGAAAGTCTGTGCCTGAGGGACTGCACCCCGTGGAAAGGATGGACCCAGGCTGGAGCAGTTCATGGAGGACTGTCTGCCATGGGAGGGACCCCAGGCTGGAGCAGGGGCAGAGGGTGAGGAGTCCTCCCCTGAGGAGGAAGGAGCGGGAGAGACAGCGTGTGATGAACTGACCCCAGCCTCCCTTCCCTGTCCCCCTGCACTGCTGGGGGGGAGGAGGTAGAGAATTTGGGAGTGAAGTTAAGCCCAGGAAGAAGGGAGGGAGGGGTGGGGAGAAGGTGTTTTAAGATTTAGTTTTTATTTCTCGTTATCCTACTTTGATTTGACTGGTAATAAATTAAACTGATTTCCCCAAGCTGAGTCTGTTTTGCCCGTGACAGTAACTGGTGAGTGATCTCTCCCTGTCCTCATCTCAACCCACGAGCTTTTCGTTACATTTTCTCTGCCCTGTCCAGCTGAGGAGGGGAGTGACAGAGTGGCTGTGGTGGGCACCTGGCGTCCAGCCAGGGTCAACCCACCACAGAAACACAGTCGACATTAATAAACACCTGGGATGGTACCAGTGACAATAAATTGAAGGCTTTAAAACAGATTTGGGACTAAGCATCACTGTGTTGCTACTTTACTGTTAGACTTGAGGTAGACCGAGGCACTGATTAGGTGCTGTAGGTGTAAGTATATTGCCAGATCCTAAACAGTTGTTAAGGACACAGAAGCACAACATTTATTATTACAGTTCAGACAGACCGCTAAGACGGTAATTTGTTCCCACAAGAATGAACAGTTAACAATAGTTTCTGGGACAGTTAAAAGCAGCTTGATTATTTGGGTCTTGGCCCCTTTATGCCAACGTTTTTTGATGGGACCTGTAAGGCTTGCCAAGTTGGAATGAGGACTTAATATAGGGGGAAAAAAAAGGGAAATGGCCACATTTAATTTTGTGGCTGTAGAAGATAACTGGATTACAGGAAGGCTTTCAGGTTTGAGAATAATGTTGAAGACTGCAGGTGAAGGGCCTTGGTCAGGCAGTACTAGGATAAGGGGTCATTTTGACAAAGGAAACTAGCTCTGTTGTTAATTCCTTAGGAGGCTTAGGGTGACACTTAAAACTAAATTTAGGGTTATGGCAATGGCCCAACAGTGGAAGTATTTCTTCAACTCCTGCAATCCCAAGCAATAACAGTAAATGTAACATCCTCCCCGCCCCCTGCCTCGCCTTTACTCTAGCTAAAATTCCAGTTTAGAGATGACAAATCCATAGACCATGCAAATCTAGCAATGGAGAAAACACATTTGCCTTTTCTCTGTGCTTAAACCCAAACCTTACCCTAGAGCTCACCAATCTCAGATCTAATGAGAATCCATCTTATCCTGTGTACAGCCCTTGCTCAGTCCACAACGTGGTAGCATTCACCAATAAAAATTGCTCTTCTATTCTCACTATCCCCAAGCCATAGGACTTCAGAGTCCCAAGCAAATTCCCCATTCTAATTTTTATCGCAGTCTTGCAGGATCCAACAATAAATCCAGTTTTTCAGCCTTGCTTTCTTGTTTGATCTCTCAATGCTAACTCTAATCTGAACTAGGATTTTTGAGGAAAGATCAGGAAGTCAAGCTTGTCACTTTCTGTCATCTTTAACCTTAATCTAACACCAGGCACAAAATGGATTAAGGCAGAACCTGGAGAAGAAAGCGACCAAATTATTTTTAAAGCTAGTATTTGGCACACCAGAGTGTAAAGAACAATTTTTTTATTGTTCCACATGGCTTACAGGTCTAAGATGAGGACTTGGCACTTGCAGGCACAAAGAAGTTAAGGTCTGTCTACAGGTACAGGTGTTGCTGTGTTCTCTTTACACTGAGGCTTAGACAGCAACTGGGAATTAAGCTGTCGGGCAGATGTCTTGTTGGACCCTGCAGTTTCTCAGCTGGGACTGTGGAATGAACAGCAGCATACGGTTTTACGCAGACACAATATGCTGGGGTGCTTTTAGGGCTACTGTCAAGCTTGAACGTCGGGATAAAACCCCACAAGTTCGTTGTTACATTCTGTATTGCCTGTAATACTAAAATGAAGGTGTATGGAAAAGGGATAGATATTTGAAAGACAACTATGAGATACGTTATAGGTAACTCGACTGTAAGGCTGAGCAAAAGCAAAGATTAAAATGTAATGCTCTGCTCCGCAAAGGCAGCAGTGCTACGGTGAGGGCTGGTGCTAGCAGAAAGGCATGGAGGACAGCGAGAATTCCCTTTGCTTTGGTTACGTCTGGAAAAGCGGTGGCATATCACTTACACAAATTCAGTGAGGACCAGTGAAAATGAGCTGTAGCACTCTTAAAAATAAATTTGGCAGTACATACACTTCAGTGTGTCATCACCCCAGAACACAGGAAACAAGCAGCCATCTTTTGAGGCAGGATTTCTTTTGACTCATTGAAAGGCCTTTATCCTGTTCCCAGAACTTGACCTAAATGAAGTTACCGCTCCTCTCTTTCTGTCCTTAAACGCTTCTGAAATGGGTGTATTCAGACAAGGACTCCCCTATAAATGGTTGGATTGCATCCTCTTTCTCAGTCATTCTTTGCGAGCCCTGAATATTGCTCCATGCAGGGGTTGCCAAATTACAGCCAGAAGGGCAAAACAGAACACATGCAGCTGGGAGCCACAGAATTTTTTAAAAAGCTTTCTAAGCTCCCCCAGTGAGCGGCTGCCTGTCTGCAGGGAAGATACTAACATCACGGACACTCCAGTATTATTTGAGGCTAAACCTTGTTTGCAATGCTGCACGCATGGCAGCTATTTAATGATGCGTTTGCTGCGCTAAATTAAGCCTGGGCTCTCGGGAGCAATCGCAGTAGCTTGATTTAACGAAGTCCTGCTCCTCACTTGCGAAAGTCAGTGTACCTAACGTGCAGCCTTTCGCAGCCTGGAAACCTAGCGTTGACCTGCAGAGATAATTCTCCGTTCCAGCCCTACTTCAAGGAGGCCATCCGGGGTAGGTCCTCTTCTAACTCCCGACCTGTCTTTTGGGAGGGAAGTCCCCTCTGCTACGTGCGGGCGGGCGGGCAAGCACCCAAAAACACCCCATACCGGGCAAATCCCCGAAGGAAGGAG